GCATTAAATATATTTTCTTACCTATGTTTCCCAGTCACTGTTGTTTTGGACGGGTACAGTTCCACCTGCTGCACACCACCTTTTACCAGCAATTTCTGCTGTGAAGGATTTTTTGTGTCCTCAGTCATGTTTTGGGTCCCAGAACTATCTACATTTGATAGACAGTAAAAAAGAAAAGGATAAATCAAACTTTTAGGCAATCAGATCTTGGGAATGGCTGGGGGGTGTGTGGTCTGTTATACCTTGCTGCCTCAAAAATACCATCTGCAGAACTTGCAGGTAGCAGTGGGACCTGTCTGCTTTTCTCTTATGATACTCCTAGCATTATGCACACATACTGATAAAATTATGCATAATACAGGTCTATTCTTACAGAAGTCCCCTGCTGCAATACATGGGATCACAGCAGAGGCTGGTAATTATATGCCTGAAGTATTTCTATCTTCTCAACTTTTACACCCACTTTCTAAGCACCCTGCCCAAAGTTTTAGTGTAAATGCTGGCAGAAGAGCGGACACACCTGATAAGAGGAGGATTAGTTTAGAATAGCCATCTTGGAAATTCATGTAGCTCAGAAGGCTCCAAAAGTTGGCTATCAGTTTATGAGACACTGTGCTTTTAAAAACCATAATTTTCCTTATAGAGGGCAAAAATAACCACTAGCAAACCAGTTCAAGAAGCATACAGATCCATGAGGCTTCCCTGCAATCTCAGGGGAAATGCAAAATTTGCATTTCCTTAGGGTCCTGTTGAAGGTTCCTGTGGAATAAAGTCAGTTTAAGGTAGTCTGCTTGGGAAAATTGCTTAGGAAAGATGTGAAATCCAGCTCACTCCACAGACTGAAGGGGATACAAGACCCTACAAGACCCTTGCAAAACATGCTGCTTTTCACCTCCCTCTGTCCTTCCTCATTTCACCTTAGCGCACGCTAGAAGCTGTTTGTCTGTGCGCGGGGAGAGCAGCCGCCGGTCCCCGCGGGATGCCTTTCCGGCAGGGCTCTGCCCGGACGCGGCAGCGCACCGTCCTTCTGGTGGGGGTCGTGGTCCTGCTGGCCGCACTCCTCCTCGCTGTCGTGCTGGCCTCTGTCCTGACTCACGGAAAACAGGAGGTCAGCCCGAAAATGCTGAAGTGGAAGGACAGAGGGACCACTAAGAATCTGCAAGAAGTTATCCTGGGAAGATGCTACAACTACGTCATGGCGCGGTACCCTGAGCTGGGGTGAGTAGCGGTCCCGGTCGTGCATCAGGGGTGTAAAGGGAGAGGACGAGCTGGCTCCCACCTCCACCGGCTGTGTCCACTGGCAGTGGCAGAGAAAAATCAGGGGAGTAAGACCCCTGTCTTGTAGCAAAATGTACAAACTCAGACAACAACTGTCAGTGATCGAGTGATGGCTTTGTAAAGAAACTACCTGCAGAGCCAGTGTAAGTAATACTGATCCTAGGTCAAAACTCAATCATAAATGCATTTTTGCAACTTCCTTAAAGCAGGCTAAAATAAAGGCTGGCTTCTAAGAGGTTTGAGTACGTGGAGGTGAAGGCAATTCGCTATAAAGCCAATCTGCCAACCCCCCTGTAACGTGTGACGCTGCACTCACGTAACCAGAACTACACGAGCGGGGAGGGAAATGAGAAGGTTCAGCACATACTTATAGGGCGGACAAGGATGTTAGAAAAGCGTTGAGAAGTACCTTGGGGTTATCCAAACCAGATGTTTTTAGCGTGTGGGAAGGCTTTGGGGTGAGTGGCACGGGGGGTACAGGTGGCTGGCAGTGCAGCCCCGGGGCAGACCTTCCCCAGCGGCCGCCCCAGCGCAGCCCACCGCCGCCCCGCTCCAGGCCAGCGCTCCCTGGGCCCGGTCTGCGGTAGCGGCTTAGGGCTGAGAACGGATCCTCTGATCCCCTTCGCGCAGGGAGAGACGGAGAAGGAAATAAGGAGTGCCACGGGCACCCCTACAAACCTCCGGGCCACCCAGCCCCTCAGGACGGGACCCGGAGCAGGCAGGGTCTCCCAGCAGGGACCCAGCCACCCCGCCGTGTGTCCCCAGTCAGCCCCCGGCAGAGATAGTGGGGCTGCCCCGCACCTCGGCCAGGGACAGAACCGTCCTGGGCTTTGTCTTAAAAAAGGGAATTGCCACCTTGTTTTCATGACCTGGAGCTGATGAGAACGAAGCTGTACGTGGTTTGCTTGCATGTGGACTTTTCGTGGCCTCGGATGTTCGGTGCTGTATGAAAACACTGATCTGCAGCATTTGAAGGGAAACGAGCACGTGGAAAATCACAGCCTGAGCCTGCAGAGATTTAAGTGCATGCTTTGCATTAAATACATAAGTGGGTTTAGTGAAGGGAAGGGAGTTTCTCTTGCAAAAAAAAATTAAAATGCTCCTGAAGCTTTTGCAAAATCATGAACGTTTCTAAAAGCATACATTAAAGTATTAAAGAAGTATACATTCCATATTTGGATCTGAAATAATTTTGAAGCCAAATAGCCTTTATTAGTTTTGCTTGTTTCGTTCAATTTAAGGTGCTGAAAATGTGAAAAATACTTGTGTGAATAAGTTTCCAGCCAATGTCACGTATGTTTGCATTCTCAACACAGTCTGAATCAGACCTGGATTCATTTGTTTAAGCAATTCCTTCAAGGACACTTTTTAAAAAATCACAAACCCATGATCATAAGCTTTCTAAAACCGTTGTTTTTACAAGACATAAAGTTTTGTGCTATTCTTAATCCAACAGTGTTTAATAGTTTCATGGCTGTGAGCTCTCTTTCAGGTGAAATGACTTCTGTATAGTAGGACCCTTTTTTGTTTTATTTTATTTAAGAAGCAAATTTATCTGAGACAGAGAGATCACTGAAAAAGGAAAAAAATATGCTCATTTATGTACACCTGAAATGTTCAGGAGGTTCCTGAACAGAGAATTAAATGTAGGTGTTTTTCTGGGAATCTCAATCTGAGATTTCTCTTTTCTGATCCTGCTGAGCTCAGTGCAGTTTGTGTAACCAACCGCTCCTGTCGCTGGCACTTTCTGATAATGAAGCGGGTACCTTTAGGACACATCAGAGAGACCCGTATCTTTCATCCCACGCTCTCTCATCATTAATGTAGGCCTTGGATCTTGCGTTGTGTGAGATCTTTGGTGCACTTAATCAAAGAAAAGGAGTAGGAACAGGGAACTGCAGAAACTCAGGCAGGTTTATGAGCTGAGCAAGCTGTGTCCTGTATTCAGTCAGGACTTTCATTGCCAGTACTCCCATCATGGGAACCTTGCTGCCTGGGTTAGAAATCTACTAATTGCCTCATAGATTTGTTGCCCTTTTAATTTTACACCAACATGTGCGTTTGTTTAAAAAACTCTGCTTGTAGTAAACTCATGGACATTTCTTTATATTTTTAATTTTTTCTATCAGAATCACTGAGTTCCCTCTTTGACAATATTATCGTCTTGTTTGTTTGTTTGTTTGTTTGTTTGTTTGTTTGTTTGTTTTAATGGCAATATATTCACTGCAGTAGTTAGTGAGTGTGGATATTTACTACATTTTGGAGTGCCATATTTCAAAAGCTGGCAGTTTTGGAAAAGAGGAGGATTGTTGACATATGAATATGGACTTTACAATGTTTCTAGATACCACGGATGGATATCGGGAGCCAGAAATCTACAGCCCCCGTGCAGATCTGCTTTTGCAACTGCATTTATATAGTCATGTGAGAAGGCCACAGACATGCTAATGTACACCTTGACCATCACAACTGCTTTAGTTCTAGAGGATACCTCCTTGCACTCTCCCCATCTTACCAGTGCCTTGGACACCATGCACAGCCAGCATGCTCTGGTCACGCTCTTTTTTTTTTTTTCTGATACAAACTGTGGGCTGAAACCAAACCCAATGAGGCCACTGGAAAGACTGCTGCTGTCTGCATTAGAGTTTCGTAGCTCTTCATGCAATCAGATTTTTTCTTGTTGATTCGCTTATTATCCAAAATGATCAAAACATCCAGGTGCTGTATTGAACTTGCTCATTAAAGAACAGTTCTCAGGTACTGTATAAAGCACCTACTTTTTATTTAACTTTGTAAACAAAACTTTTTTGTTTACACTCCTAAAATTCACTTTTGTTTAATTTTGTAAAATTTTGTTTAACTGCATACATACAATACAATCTTTGGAATCTTTGGGTTTATTTCTGCTGATGGCTGGATGACTCTTATGATTTGTACACATACAGTTTCTTCAGTTAGCCTTCTTGCGTAGAACTGTTGTCATGAAAAAGCTCAGGAGAAACAACCAGGGAATATAAAACTCTTCAAATAATGCATTTGCAGTATTAGCCTCATTTTTAGGGAAAGATGCAGATGGCATAGCAGCAGACTTCAGTGGTTTCATTCCCTGCACACACAGCTGCACATCTAGATACATACGTTAGAGAGCAGTATTTCTTTTTGGCTTCCCTGGGAAATACAGGCTGCTGCCAGAAGACAGAGCTAAAGCAATAGTTTGTCACAGCTCAACAGTCTTTTCTTTTTTTTTTTTTTTTTTTTTTTTTTTTAACATTAACAAAAGCTGCAAGTTCTGCTTTCACCAGTCTTGCAAAAAAAATCCTTACTCATCAACCATGGCCATTGGTATTGTAGTTTTGTCTGAATAAAGGCCAAAGGCAGTTTGGTCTGAAGGAAGAATTTGACCTCAAATTACTTCGTCTCCTTTCCCCGTAATACGGACTCCCTCTTGTGGCTAACAAAACACTTGCAATTCTCATTCTCCAGGTCTCACATAATGCAAATTTCTCTCTGGTATAATCCGAGGAGGGCAGCGCGATGGGGTGCACAGAGCTGCACGCTCAGCAGCACCAGGCTAGTGCAGGGCCAGGTCAGTGCCAGATCATTCAGAAGAGCAATGCTGGTCAAGACCAGTTGTGGTGACCCAATAACTTACCCATTGCTCCGAAGATGGTGTTTATGATGGTTTTGCACCTTGATACCACCGGGAGAGAATACGTAGTAACAGATGTAGCATAAAACTTGTTGATACAAAGTTAGCTGGTTTAGTTTTCCTCTTCACCACGTTTGAATTGGCAGGCTGAGGTCAGATATGAGCGGCACTTTGTGACCTAGGGAGGGAGGGGAGAAGACACATTGTCTAAAAGGTTGTAGTCACTGATCTCCAAAACACAAACAATGCTCTTTTTTTTAATCTAGAGATAGACTCATCTTACACTTGCAGCTCAAGAGATTTTTCATTCCCAGATAATGACTATACAGCCACTTCTTGTTCTGATTCACCCAAGCTAGGCCAAGCTTGCAAGGACCTACTATTTAAAAATGGCTGAGGTCAAACCAGATTATTTTTTGTCTCTAACGTCTGCCAGGCAGAGAGCACCAAGGATGCAGTCAGGGAGCCACTTCAGTAACATATGTGACTCCCAGGCCCATCAATGCTAATGCATCTAAGTAGTGCAAAAACCCAGTAATGAAGATGCAAAGCATAGAACTTCAATATATTTTTCATGCAGTGTTGTGTGGACATGAAACATAGATTTCCCCTTAAATACAATTGGACCAATTGTTTCTGTAGTTAGTGGTAAATTCCTCTTATAACAAATTTTAACAGTCTGTAGTTCCATTAAATTTAGGAAAAGTTGGAGCATGTTCCGGAGGGCTTTGTCTCCTGACTTCATGATCATGAATGCATTTTGTCTTTCAATTCCTTTACAGCCTGTGGAGATGGAGATATGTACTGTCAAAAACAACATATGGAACTGTGATTTTGTGTGAGATACTATTGCACTTGCAGCATAATTTCTTCCAGAAAGAAATCTGGGGTTTGTTGTTGTATGCTTACTTTTGCATTTTGCCTTCATGCTTTGCTAGGCATTTTAAATTTAATTTCCTTGTGTTTGTTCATTGATTGTTAACACTTTCACATCAAGCATAGCACTAAATAACAGTCATGATTTGAACTGGTGTCACAAAAACCTTAGCTTTATTTTATATAACCATGATGTTATATGCAAACCTATCTGAGATTTGTGTTTTCATGAGGAAAAAATGCCTTACATGAGAGAAACTTTTACTGAATCACAGTCTTCTGAAGCATGTGGTGTTACTACCAAATCATAGTTCATTAGCACCCCTATTAGAGTGCACTGCACAATGCTAAACTACTTGATCGAATATACATCAAACTGCAAAGGATTTAGCTTTTTAAAAATTTTTAATACACT